AGAGAGAGAGAGAGAGAGAGAGAGAGAGAGAGAGAGAGAGAGAGAGAATATCTGCTACAATGGTGGAAAAGAGCAAGTACTAGTGCCACAGGTGAAGGAAAGGAAAATGCAGTTAACCTCACAAGTTAAGAGGGAGATTTGGCATGCATACCCTTAGATCTATCTGGTCAAGACCACATAAACATATTTCATCTTATTTTGTAGTTCAGAAAATAAATTTCTGATTTAAGCTACTATTTTTTTTTTGCTTCTACTTGTTAGTGATTTTGCACTTTGTCAGTATAGCCACAATTGTATGTCAGCTGAAGAACATAGCTTTTATTTCTCTAATGCCCATTGTCTGCACTCTTATTTGTTTAGACTGATGTAGTATTGTCATCTTCTCCTTCTTCTTAACTATTACAATGCCTTTCTATATGACTTCTATAGGTCTTCTCATTCTTTCTGTATACCACTAGAATAATATACTCTATAAGCATAGAATCCTTCAAATCATGTGTCTACTAGATAACCTTAGAATTTAACTTGCAACATTGATGTCATATCCTGGCATGGAATACTGAGCACACCTTGATTTTATAAGTATTTTTTCTCTCCAAGGTTACATGTAGAAGAGTATAGTAGTAAAAACGTAGGCTTTGTAAATACGTTCACTAAGTGTGAATTGGAGTACCATGTGTTTATTTCCACATAACCTGTTTGAATTACTTTATCTTTCTGTTTCAATTGCCTAAGGTTCACTTCTTCTTCTCTTTCTTCTCCTTCTCCTTCTCCTTCTCCTTCTCCTTCTCCTTCTCCTTCTCCTTCTCCTTCTCCTTCTCCTCCTCCTCCTCCTCCTCCTCCTCCTCCTCCTCCTCCTCCTCCTCCTCCTCCTCCTTCTTCTTCTTCTTCCTTTCTTCTTCATTATTATTATCATTATTATTATTATTGTTATCATCATCATTATTATATCTTTTTTTACAGTCCAGTTGTTATCCTCCTCCCAGTCTGACAATTCCTCATCCCATTCCTCCTCCCCCATCTCCAAGAGGATGTCCCCACAACCCCTACTCAACCAATTCACCCCATTCCCTGGGGCCTCAAGTCTCTGGAAGTTTAGGTGCCTAATCTTTAAAATAGATTTACCTTTTTATTTTTAATGTCATTCTATTGACTTAAAAATCAGTATGTAAATAACTAATAATTGGCCCACCACCACCTCAAGGTCTGTCTACTCCATCCATAAACTTCTGTTGCTCATGAAGGGATCAGTTGTACAGATACAAAGCTGCAGGATCTCCATGACACAGGGAAACAACAGGATATCTAAGAGGTGTCCAGTAGGTCTCGGTATTGGTAGTGTAGCAGAAGCCAGAGGCCTCAAACCAGACCAATGACTCATTGCAATGAATATTCATAAACAAAGAAGGTGGACAAAAGAATATACTGTGGTAGCCACAGAGGCACACTATAGCTTCCACAAAAAAATATTGTTTTAAATTTATTTCTTTTGTGGTAGTGGTAGCAAGGACAGGGCTCTGGAATAGAAGGTTGGTGGAGATGAGTACATGATGTGAAATTCACAAAGCACCAATAAAATGGCAATAAAAAAACTAAGACTTTCAGGATTTGCTAATGTGAGATTATTTATTTCCTGTATTTTCACAGGTATGGTTAATTAACTCCTTGGGTCGGAGTTTTCCATCTGATTACTTCTATAGGGTTGGATTTGTGGATAGATATTGCTGAAATTCGATTTTATCATGGAGTATCTTGTTTTCTCCATCTACAGTAATTGAATGTTCTGTTGGG